TTTTAGCAACAAATTAATTTTGAAGTTTTTTCAATATTTTTTGTTTTGTTTTTCTTAAACGAAAAATAACTTTGTTGTGCATTTTAAGATGGTGTAATATGCTCAGGAGAAAGTCGTCCATGTTTTTTGCTCATCGGCTAATGTAGCGAAACATTTTTATTGCATCTACCAATATTTATTGAACTTTTTGTTTTGTAATATCTTTTAAAGTATGACTTTCGGTTTTTCTGTAAATGTGGTTTTCAAAGTATAGCTTGAAATATCTACTTGTTGAAACTGGAAAGTCGTCTCTTTCTGCTTTGGGGTCACTTTTATTTTGCTTAATCTTGTGTCAGCAAACAGCAAATTGTTATCGGCGCAAGAGGTGAGAAAAAGTTATCATGTTTGTGAGCCGTTTTCTGCAAAAGTACTTTTCAGAACAACGGAAACAGTGACTAAGTTTCATAAAATTTTCCTGTCAAAAAACATCTAGAAAAGCTTTTCCTTATTATTTTTTAAACATAGTGCAACTGAGCTGTACGAAAATAGAAAAAGTGGAAGTTTAAGAAAGGACCGGTTTTTTAAGCTACCTCCTCGTTCTTTTTTCGCCTCTAGCTCCTCCAACCAAAAAAAGGATAGATATTAATAAGAAGCTAGATGCCTTTTTTAAAAAGCAATTCAAATTATCATTTTCAATGTCTCTACAGAAGCCGCTGTGAATCAACAGTGGAATATATTGAAAATCATCTTTTAGGTAATTTTTTACAAAACAGCGTGGTTTTATTGCTGCTAAATGGTCAGTCATTAAATGAGCAAAGATGTTATGTATGCAAAAAAATTTTTTTTTATTTTTTAGCTAACAAAAGTAAGTTCATTTAAGATTGTTGGAAACATCAAAATTATATTTCTGTTGTTGTCTGAAGTTGGTTTTCTCTGAAACTGAGCTGAAAAAACTAACATTTTGAATAAAATTTGGTTAAATCTGAAGTGAAGACAGTTTTTTCTAATTTTACAGTTGTGGTAGAGTGGTTTTTTAATTACCGTGCCAAAATTAATGTGTTCAACTAAAAAAATGTTGATAGACGACTGCGCTGTGTTGTATGGGGAGAAATTTTACCAAATTCAAACTACAAAAGGGTTCTTTGTCTGCCACAAGGATTGGTTACCCACATTTTGATTGCAAACCAAAGTTTTTAACCTTGCAGTTGGTATAACATCATTAGAATTTGATTGAAAAGTATTTTTGCTGCCATAGTTGCAATTTATTATTTTCTTTTTGGGAGGATTTTATTTAAAACATTTATTTTAGTTACTTCTAATAGAGGATAGCTGAGTAATTGATCAAAAACAAAGTTGACTATCTGACACAAAGTTAGTTTATATGACTGAAGACTGACCATTATTTATTTCATCTCTGTTTGCAAAATACTGCATAAATGAATGATAACTGGGAATTACTCCACTGTTCAAGAAAATTTAACATTCTGTGTCACTTTGTTTTCTTGAATAATAGTGACCCTAAGTAACCTAGCAACAGTTTAATTAAGAGTTTAAATTTGAGGACTAAGTAGGGTTTATTCTAGTAATTTTTTTCTGTGTTTAGTGTATTCTTTAATTTTGTTCAAACAAAGATTAAAAACAAAGATCTCGGTATATTTCATTATTGCAGTGGCGCAATTTCTAAATGAATGCAACAGCGCGTTCTTAATTATTTTTAAAATCTCATGTGTAGCTTTTACAGTCTCGGACCAACGGAGTTGCGATGTAGACCAAACAGTAAATCAAACTTTAAACTTTAGTCCAGTTTACCCGATCGTGGCATCTTTCTGTTACTTTTCAGGACATTGGAAACCTTATTCTGTATTTGCTGTTAGCAGCTGAAGGAACGCCAGAAGGAGTCATAAAGACCGAGATTTTTTTATGGATCATAATGTATCATTTGTTCAGAGGAAAAAAACATGGCCCCCAAAAGTAGACGAGAAACGGGTAAAGTCTTTTTCTGCAAAATTACTCTCTGAAAGCTACTTTGTTTTGACTGTTCGACAGTAATAACCATCATTTCTTCGGTAGGTCAGCCTGCAGTTGTCTGAACGATAAGAATAAACTCTTTAGCAGTTCAACTTCCGACGAAACTTGCAAAGGTTTTAGAAGGAAAAATCTTTAGCATTATTAGATATTAAAATTTTTGCTTGCCATCATTATGTTCTTTTACAGCTACGTGAAATAAGTGACGTAGTATACGGATCAATTCCACTGTATTATCCACTGAACCTGATTGTTGATACTCCAATATTTCAAAGATTGCGACGTTTGAAACAAACCAGTGCCGTGCATTTTGTTTATCCTGGTTGTGAGCACTCACGATTTACGCACAGTTTAGGGTTTGTATACTTAATTAGTTACAGCAGTTCATTTCTGTACCTAAAAAGTTGGCATATTTATTGTTGCTTATATAATAATGGAGCAATTTGAATGCTATAAAACTTCTTTAACCACCAGGACATACTGGATACGGACAAAGCAGTAAAAATTTCTTGCAGTCATGAAAAAAACTCTACAGTTTTAATTTTGCTTCTTTCAATGATTGCACTTGTTCACATATCTTTTCACTTTTTTTCGTTCATATCTGTGACGTGCAGAACACTTTTGAATGAATTTTGTACAGTTTTTATACCATGGTCTCTTTTTTTTATGAGAAAATTTGAAGATATAGTATTAATTGCAGTACTTTTTTTTCATTTTCATTTTTCAGAGTTTATCACCTTGCTCGTCTTTTTGTAAAATCATTAGCTGAGAGGCAAGACTTGGGTATAGATTCTAGGGATCAGCTTTGTGTTGCAATTGCGGGACTCTTTCACGATGTTGGTACGTGAAATCCTTAATACTTGTTTGTTATTTGATATTTTTGGGAGATTCGGCTTGAAGATTCGCTTCAAAATTGTATTATTCAAAAGAGTGTTAGAACTGGTTAAGAATGACTTGAGATAAGTTAGTTGTTTTTAAGTTTTATGGTGCTTCGAGAGTTTTCCTTCAGTTTTGAAAGTAAAAAAAATGTAATGCAGTGAATCTGGATGTATTCAGAATGTAATAACTGTTTTTTTTTTTTTTGAACTTTTTTCAGGTCATGGGCCATTCTCTCACCTCTTTGAAGAATTTTTAAGGACCACCAATGGCGACCGTTCCTGGACGGTGGGTTTGTTGTTTTATAAGGCTTCTGATATCCCATCGTATGACAATTTTGGGTACTCTTGAATAAGCATTATGATTTCTTTTAAATTTTCAGCATGAAAAAGAGTCGGTTTTGGTGTTTGAAGAAATATGTAAAAATAAACAATTGAAGGAGGCCTTGGACGAATATTTAGAAGAGAGCGATTATACATTTATAAAAGAGATGATTAATCCACCTAAATCAAAATTTGTACGTCTATTTATAAACCTGTTCTCACTTCCTTAGCTTGCAGTTTAAGATATTTTCAAACGTGTTCATATTTAGGACCAAAATGGCCAGTGGATTCTAAAGGGTCGCTCTTTAGAGAAGTCGTATTTATATGACATTATATGCAATCAGAACGATTCCCTGGATGTAGATAAATATGACTATATATTGCGAGATGCAATCTTTACGTCTTTTGGCATTCCTTTTAATCGAGTAAACAGTTGTTTTGTATTTATGCGTGATGAGTAGTCTCTGCTGTATGACGTTTTTTCAAAACAGTAGCTCCACGATGTTAAATCATGTCTTTCCACATAGAACAGCGTAAGGAGGATAATGAATTGGGTGAAGCCATTAAAAGTAAAGGACAAAAATGGAAATGAATGCTTACAACTGTGTTATGCATATAAGGTCTTAAACGAGCTGCAGAATGTCGGTGAAAGCAGATATCTGTTGCACAGCAAAGTTTACAATCATAGAACAGTATGCGTGTGCGAATACCTGTGATTCTTTTTATCATTCTTTTTCAAACTTGGGAGAATTATTTTTTTTTACTTAAAAGGACTCTTCTTCCAGAATTTCGAATACGAAAGCACTTATTTAAGTAAATTTTATAATAACACCAAAAAAGTGTTTGCATAACTTAAAATTTTAAGGTCTGCTCACGCTTCTTCATATATTTTTTCAGTATAATAAAGGCCTTTCAAGCCGCAGCTCCACATCTCATTTTCAAAGGTGACGACGGTCAGGATTATAATTTGACAGAAGTTACCAGCAACTTGAGCGCATTCTTAAAATGTGATGACTTAATTTTTCAAATGGTCATTTTTTGAATTTTTTAAAACCTTCTCTAACTGAAGTCACAACTTAAATTTTATTATTTAGCTTTTTTTTTCTCATCTAAATCAACTTTCCTTTAAGATTCTGAACTCGACAACTCCAGAACTGAGTGATGCTAGAAGTTACATTGATGGCCTAATGTGTAGACGTCTACCAAAATGTATTGGAACAGTAGAATTGAAAGAACCTGTAAGAGATGACAGTTGGAATGATGAGGTACCAATTAGACAAGACGTATTATTTAATAGTAAAATGCAGCTTTCATTTAATAAATGAGTTTTAAAAAACTAGAGTGACTTTTTTCTATTGCTGCCAACTTTATTACAATTGAAGCTGTGCAATAGTATAATAATTGAACATATTCCTAGGACAAAATTAAGAAAGCTGTGTGGGAGAATCTCCATCCGAACTTAATATCTGAAGAAGACATTATTGTTTGCGTAAGATATATGTTACTGTCACATAAATACATTTACTGATTCTTAACAATTTCCTCTTTAGTATTCTATATGTGGTTCTTTTTATATATACCAGCAAAAATATAGAGAAGGGTATAGTATTTTCTAAAAAGTACTTTCAGTGGCTTTTTTAAATTATAATTCAAAAGCGAATTCACGCCTGGTTAGTTTTCTCTGGTATAAAGAAGGAAAACTCGTCATTTTAGGTGAGAAAGTTACACCGTGGCTTAGGTACGAAGAAGAGTCCCTTAAGCGAGGTTTATTTGTATGATCACAAGGATCCTCATTCAAAGGCTTACGGCATGAAAGATGAATGGGTTGGTAATTTTATTATGGAGCTTTTTTTAAAACTCCTATAGTAGTTTTGCTTAATGAATTTTTTTTATGTTAGAGCGGTATTGCAGCTTAGGAACTAAAGTAGAATGCTCATTAGACATTTTATTATCCAAGTACAGTTATGGAAGTTGTAGATGAAGGCGAACCCGCGCTATTTAGCTGGAAATATGAACATCAATGTTTACATATCCTTTCAAGCCTATGAAAAAGAAGGACAAGTTGTTAAGGATGCATATAAAGTGCTTCGAAAGGTTTTTGGAGAGAGTGAGTATATAGCTCCTGTACAAACATACGAAGGATCTGAGGAAAAGAAATAATTTTGACGGATATCGAAAGGGACAAGACTGAATGTTTGTAAAACATATCACTGGTCTTTGTTGGTCATATTATAAGTCATACGGGTAGTAAGAGTGCTCGAATGCTCGTTTGCTGTAAAACGCTCAAGATGAAGAAAATAAAAAATTTTATTCAACGATCTGTGGGAAAGTGGATGCAAAGTGGATGCAGCCCTCAAAATCTTTGTTAAAATAAATTGCTAAAAATGTTTTCATATGCAAAATCAATTAAGTATTTCATTTTGAATGGTAAAAGTCTCATATCAGTAAATCAGAATAACTTTAATGAGTAACAAAGAGCTGGGCGAGAGAACGCATTTTTCTGAGTTTAAAAGAAAGTGAGGTCATTACGCCAAAAGTGCTCCAACAAAAAATTAAAACAATGGGACCTTTTTTCACAAAACTATTTCACGATGATGTAACAGGAGAGGAAGATGAAAAGTTTTAGTCGACTGTTTTTCTTCAAAAAAAAAAAAAAAACATATTTTAAGCATCTGCTAGTTTTCTTGTCCTCTACGAGGCTATTTTGAAATACAACATTTTCACTTCGACGGTAATCAATTCATAGTTGAAACTGTAGCATTTTTTTCGCAGCCTGGACAAACTTTCGTCCAGCAGAAGTTACTTTTTTGCTTCCGGATGTATTTGTATTCAACAAAACTCTGGGAAGGTTAAGTTGACTGTGGATCGGAGAAATAAGGCGATATCAGTCACTATTAACAGTGAGTGAACTATACAGTATATGATAATCATCAGCTGTGCCAAAAATGCGGTCTTTTGAGTGGCTGGCTGCCTTTACTGTTGTCACTCAGCGTAGTAGAGTAACAGAGCTGAAAACAGAACTGAAGAAAGATTAGCAAAAATGCACAACAGGCAATAAATTAAAAACAAGTAGGTTACATGAAAGAATTTGAATAACTGTAGAAAAAAGTATCTGGAAATAATATTGAATAAAAAAGTGTCATTTTACACATAATCTTTTTTTTTTTTACTAAAAGTTAAGCAGAGGATCGAGTGTTATGCAAACTTTTGCGGTCTTTTTTCCCCTTACTTCTTTTTAATGTAATATATATATCTAACAGAAACTTTAAGACTTGGTAAAGACGGTGAAATTAATTCAACAAGGAATCAGTGCTGTTTACTTGAGCACTAAGTTTTTGTTTCTGTGAACTTTGAGGATGCGTTGATATCAAAAAACATGCAAAAAACTAATAAGAGAAAAAAGAAAGAAATAAGGTTCTTTTTAACAGTTTTGTGACTTATAACTGTATAAAGAATGATTAGATTTTAATTTACTAGGCATCATTTAGAATTGTTTTCTTGTTTTCCCCTTTTTTTTTTT